TGGCTTGTTTTACAACGTCGTTGCCAAGCGACGAAAACCCAATCCCGATGGCAAACACCGGGGACACGTGGGGGGCGGGGGGATATGAAACCACAAACCTTAAACTGGCCATGAACATTCATTCGCGGCACTTGCGTCCACGACGCAATCCATGTGCGCTGAGGCAACGGGAATAAATCGTAAAAGACAGAGTAGGCAACAATCATATCCTAGATTCGAGGTGCTTGAGCAGCCAACATACAGAGTCAGCGAAAAGGCTGAAGTTGACACCTATCATACACTGCTGTACATCAATCCCTAGAACCTTCGGAGACTCTTGATCGCCTCCTCCATACCGCTCCTGTTTTTGAGCACTTTCCAATCCGTACACTGCTTTCCTCGTTCGGGGAGCGTTCGAAAGCATCACGATACGATACTCCGGAGACAAAAAACTTACGAAAATTCACGAACATGCATCTCGTACCTTGGGGTGTACTTGAAACCAACACAAATTGTTTGCCGCAGAGGCCAAGCGCAGAGCGCGGCTCCGAGAGCGCCCCGGTAATCACCGACTGCATGACATGAAAGCTAACCAAGACCTCTTGTTTCAGAGGGATATAATCATGATATCATACTGCAGCCCCTCCTCGTCTGCCATCGTAAGAAGGAAAAAAAAAAACACCCATTGGTATCAACACCATTTGTCCCACTGCGATCCGCCGCCTACTCTAGACTACCAGAAAAAGGTACGGTTTCTAAGTACTAAAAATCAAGCACTAGAACCAGCAAAGGGGATGATGCTCCACACGGGTACTTAACAAACAACACAATATAGATGGCGAGGCCATCAGCAAAAATCGCGTCCAATGTACACCGCCGTGGGCGGGAATGATGGTCACCCATCACCTGAGACAAGATACAACCTCCCGTGGCCTACAATACTACAAGCAAGACAAGAGTGTTCAGGGCAAACCGGATCTCAACCGGCTACCAATCGCTTCCTACTCTGAGAGGTCATTCCCCCTTCCATGGGACCTACGAATGGCAGGTCACAGCCAAAGCCTCTAACCCACGTCATGTGTTAATGTTCAGAACGGAGGGGGGAGGCAAAAGTCAGCGAAACAAACCACAGAGTGAATGAAGCAAGCTTGGTGCCGCATTGCGGTCAATCACAAGGCGAACGATCGGCCCAAACGCCTGCCGGGTGCCCAACACCAGGCGCAACTTCCAACCAACACATTTACACGTGCGCTTTGCACCTCTTGTTGTAGGGGACGATGAAATGCAAGCAAGCCTTACACGACCAAATAAAAGTGCATTGCTACACTGTCCCCCCGCAAACAGCCTCCTATTGCACCCACCATCAACGTAACCACGCAACAAACTAAAGCGGGGTTCGTGATTTTGAAAGGAGGGAGTCCACCTACATGGAAGCACGTGAACTTTATCAGCGAGACTTCGCCATGGCGGCAACACTCACTCACTCACCCACTCAGCGGCAAAGAGCGCGGAGTCAGCGACAACCAAAGCAGGGCCGGAAGCTGCATAAGGTGCGGCGGACCGCACACCGACGACGATAACAAGGCACCCCCAGCCGGCCAAAAGAAAAAAAAAGAAGAAAGAAAATAGGATGAGTCGAAAAAGAGGTGACCCACGCCGACAAGACGACACCCGGCCAGTCACACAGCTGCGCAGCAAACAAACAGCAGAAAGGGGGACGGGAACGGCTCAGCTTCGCGAAACAAGGGGATTCATACCTCTGCAACTAAGGCACCTGCGTTGTACGCATCTATTTTCTCTTCCCACATCACAACTCCTGGTAGCCAACGCCCCGTAGTTTCGGTCAATCTGGCAAAGGATGGCAACTTTTCATGTCTAAAAAGTACTATTATATTAAGCTAGAACTTGGGTGGGTGGAGTCGCGAGGACTACAATAGGATTCGATGCAAGCAGAGTCGGTCGGGCGTATTTCGGCACGGAGCAACAACTCGGGGGTACACAAGAAAAGCCTCGAACTAAACGCAGCCCGGATATCTTGACAACATCGATGGGCGGCAAAGCGACCCGTGTGAAGCAAGCGTAACGGGATACTGTAGAGACCCCGCAGGCAGGTTGTGGGACGCTACGGCGCTTTATGCACATGATTCTTACAATTCCACTGGTGACAGCTGGCCCAACCAACTTGCAGCTACGGCGATTTCTTCAAGACATTGATCGGGCAATCATGATGATTCGTTCCTCAAGTAAAAGGCACTGCTGTATGACTTGCTAGCCAATAAATAAATCAATACCACAGCACAGCACTAGTACGGGATTGACCACGAGGACGGAGATAGGGAGTCCCACTCACCGGGCGAAGCGGCGTCGGCAAGGAGGAAGGTGATGGGCAGGCAGTACTCTCTGAAATGAACAACCAGGTTCCAGAACACCGTCCGATCCACGCTCCTCCTGCTGGCGTTAGCCCCCCCCCCCTCCCGCCACGCGGCATCACCCCCTGCCCCCGAAGGCGGCTGTGCTCCTCCTGGGCATTGTCGGTCGAACAGTCACATCATCACATCGCAAACCGGGGGACTCAGGTCAATGATGCGCGAGTGAGATACAGTGTCGGAGGGGAGTGAGTTGGAATCAACAAGTGGGGGGGCT